GAAAAAAATCCTAAAAAGTAAACAAAAAATACATAATAGAATAAGGTAATACCAATTTAACAGAAACTTCTGGCAGAATCCTGAGTAAAAAATGGTTTAAAACTATATAATTGTGTTGAATAACAAATTTGCAATTTTGTTCTTACGTCTTCCCTTTCTAATTCAGTATAAAGTTGGTGCAAATCACTTCCTACAGTATGACGATGACTAATGGGGCGTATATAAGTTTGTCTATTATTAGAAAAAAATCTTGTAAACTGTGAAAAAAACTTTACTATTTGTCCATAAGGGTTTGTGTTCCCCTGAAGGTCACACATCCTGGTACCTTTGAAGGATATTGTTGTTTTCCTATAACAATAATAATTTTTAATATTTAAACGTCAATAACTTGTTGCATTTTTGTTGGAAAATAATTGAAAAATTCTCGTTTATAGTGAATTTGTGTTCATAGAAAGTTCTATTATATGTGAGGTCTATATGAGGTGATAAGATGGTGCAAACATTTGTATAAAAGAAAATTGATCAGTTTTACTCGGGTATGAGTAGTGTAAAATATATTTATCTTAGTCTTATGAACATTCTGAAAGTTGCTTTAATTTTTATTTCATAAATAGAGTTTGTTGTAGAAATATGATTCAATGGCAGTCGCAAAGATAACATTTCACACAAATCAATGTGACTTGAAATTTTCGCTCAATTCACTGTTCCGAAATTTCAAGATTTGTTTCTCACAAACGGTTTGCGCTAATTGGAATGAATTGAATGTTGTGTATAGCAACAAGATTGTGATCATAATTTTGAAAGGAAATAGGAACAGATGTTTTTGTAAATTTATTTTGGGTAAGGTAGTAACAGTTAATTTGGGGTGAAATTGTGTTATAATTGTAGGATTGCTGCTGAAAAGTTATTTATGTCTCGTCTGGTTTTCAGATTTTGCACGGCAGTAGTATAGCTGGTTGCGTACGGTCTATTTAGAGATGACCATTGAAAGCATTGTGGAGCATAATTTAATCTGTTTTTAATTTGATGAACAAAGTAGAGAAATATCATATACAATTCTGTAATTTGATTGCTATCTAGCCTTCTGTTTGACCCCCCTAAAGGTCACACATCCTGGTACTTTCTGGCACTGTTTTTGAAATTTTGTGACAACTGCTTTTGTTTAAAAGGGAAACTAATTGAGAATTTGGTAGGGAATTTACACTCCCAAAAGATACCAGGATGTGTGACCCCAAAAAGTATTAGGATGTGTGACCCCAAAAACTACCAGGATGTATGACCATATACATGTACATGTATGGTTGATCGCAAAGTCACATTGACATATTAACACAGTACCTTGCATTTTCTAAAACTTGGAATATCCATCAGTATCCTATATGTATCTAAGCCAATCACTGTTCATATAGCTCAATAATTAATCTGTAAAATCACCCCTATACTCATACTCATTCTCAAAATCAAACTTTTGCTACTATCCTCCAATCACAAACAAGATCAAAAACAGCTTTTTCAAATTATCACATTTCCTTTCTTAAAAACCAGATTCTCCCACAAACTTCTCTAACACAAAAATCTTTTGCCTTTTTCTGACTTCCTGTTCTGGCTGCCCAAGAGAATTGTCCGTTCGTTTATCCTAAGGCATCCAAATTAAACAAGATAGATTCTGATTAAAATTAACACATACTAAAAATTTATAATATATTTTATAATATTTTCATTTTGGCTCAAATCTGTTTAATATCATACTTTTAGTTGTAAAACTTGTTAAGAAGAAAATATTTCAGTTGGCAATCAATCAAATTAGCTTAAAGTATGAAACTACACGGGGTTCCATGCTCCAAGATATCAACAACATACATTTTTGTTTTCTTCTTTTTTTTAATAAAGAAGCAGCATTGGAAAGATCACAGCTACACAGGGACAATCAGTGACGGGTTCATCGGACCCACTGTGAACACCACATGTAATTCACCAGGTCACATCATATGCAAATAATCTATTCATAATTATTAAATATCACCTCTGCTGATCTATGCTACAAGTTGCTGCAATCTTTCTTCATTTTCATAAATACTGCACTTTTTCTTATTTTTTTATGTTCTGTTTTTTTTTTTCTTTGTAAGCAAAGTCTAAGGTAAAATTGCCCTACAGGTCAATCAATTTGAATAAAAGAGGTGATTGGTCATGAAAGAAGTCAGATGCATTGTGGAAGTTTTTTAGTCAAACTCACATCATGTAGGCATTGTTTAGTAAAATAACATTCTTAATAATTTTTTTAATGTGCATTAACATCTTAAGATACATACATTTATATATTATATCATTTTATTTTTTCCATTTTTGAAATTCTATAAATATAATTATAAGCAAATAAAACAGATGCTTTTCTGGAGACATCAGTTTTAAATAATCACCAAGTACTTAGTGGGTGAAGATCTTATTATCTATTATCTTATTATCTTATTATCTTATACATCTGTATTGGCTTAAAGTCCTTCTAAAAACCATCTGGCTTTTTTTTGTTTATTTATTTTTCTTATCAAGGGCTTCACACTTTGCACTGTTGCCATGGTAATTACTTTTACATTACTTACAAGTTTAGAGGTTCAAAAGGTGAAAAAAAACAATTTTAATTTTGCCCTTCCTTTGCAAGTTTGAACCACTAATAGTCATTTGCTGGAGTAAGCAAATGTGATTTTTACTTGTGTTTTAATATACCCCCTCCCCCAGATGATTTTGATCTTTATTTAGTTCTGTGCAAATAATTAGGCAAATTATTTGTTTAACATCTTGGTGAATAATAAACCTAATTTAGGTATACCATTGAGCTATCTTTTTTTAGATGCATGATTTCACACACTTGTACAATCACATCTTGAGCCGATTGAGGCAACATCTTGCATGCAGGTTTGGACTGTACAATATAAGGGATTTTTTTTGCTAAAGTTTGTAATCATATTTTTTTTTTTTTGGTTTAAATGTAATTTTCTAATGGTTAAACCATTGACATTAAGATCTGTTAAAAATGGCACTTGGCAGGACACTCAGTTTTAAGTTCTAAGCAATATTAAAAAATTTCTAAAATTGCTTTAGGGTACCAGTATATACTGTATACATGTAGTGTATAGGAAGGCCACCATGGCTAACTCATTGCAAATCTAGACAATTACTCTTAAACGTTTTTACTACCACTTCCTTCTTTTCATCACTAATTCACAAAATAGTCCTGATTATAGTCAGAAGTTTGGTACAAAAATAGCTAAATTATTTGAGTAAAAATTGAAAATTGACTCAAATTTGTTATCTGTTGGCTTCAAAATTAGGGTTCATTTCCAGAAATATTAAAGATAAGAAGACAGTGCAGACAAATTTGGGCAAGAATGTCTGGTGTTGAAATTGTTAATGCCTTCCTTGTAGTTGAGCCCTGCATTTGTCAGTATTTTGGTCCACTATAATAAGAATACTGTGACACAACAATTCTTGTGTTTTGACTGAAATTCACTCAGTGGGAATACAATCCAACAATTATACCCTTTTTCCTATATTTTCCATTCAACTAGTCAAAAGTCAGTAAAAATAAATTCTATACAAAAAAACCAAAAAGTCTTTTCAGCAAAAATTAATTTCAGCTAAAATAAAATATTTAACATTATTACAGTTTCGTCCAGGGATTGTGTCATTACTTTCACGCAGTGAGTAGCGATAAAAAAGTGCAAAGGAATTCACTCAGTACGTCCATTAGATGTGGCCTTTTCTTGTACAAAGATGAGCACCCTTTCCTTATACTTTTGTGTCTTAGAAGCAGAATTTTGCTTTTGTCACAAGTTTCTTTAAATTCTTCATTAACAAGAGAAAACATCACCATCTTACAGAAATTTACTCACAGTACAGTTTGAAACCAAGACAACTTATCCTCAGTGGTAGTAAAAATGTCTTCTGACCTCACTGAACTCAGTAAGGTTTCCCTGCCTGCGTCATGTTTGCATAGTCTTGAAAGCAAATTCCAAAGCACTCCTAGTTGTAAATGAAACAGCTGTGCAGAAATATACTGGGAATTTTCACAACTTATAAAAAGAAACAGAACAGTTTCAATATCTTTGGCTGAAAAACACACAGTTACTGAGGAAAGTTTAACAGCCAAGGTTGAGTGAAGTACCATAGTGGGGATTACCCCAACATGTGGGTATTTCTTTACACTTTTCTGGTTAGTGTTACCACAGTCTGAATTTGACTCTTCTCTTTAGTGAAATATACCCTGTTATGACAATGATGCCGGGTATTGAAGGTAACAAGAGAAATGGGATTTTGTTACAAGAAACTAGGCCATACTGCCCTTCGTGCTATTGTTCATTTGTAACTTAGTGTGAAAGAAAGAATTATTTGATTTTTTGACTCTTCGCACAATATTTATTTTATTTTGCGACTAACTTTTCAAAATTGCTTGCTAATGATTTACTGTTATCCATCCTTCTTATTTTTTGAAAAATGCAAAAAGAATTGTTGTATTTTGAAATAAACTGTTATCAGACAATTTCTGGAATAATTAAGATGTTTTAAAGGTTTTGCAAATGCTCGCCAGCAATTTTGAAGTATTAAAAATAGGAAAGTTTTTGTTAAAGTATTTTGATGGATAAATGAAATATTAAACATATTTTTTGCAGTAAAGTTATTCTAGGGTAAGGCTGAAATGTATTGTGGGATATCTATGTAAATAATAACCTTATCTGTAATAATTTCAGTTCTATTTGAAGTTTAGCATTTATAGAAGTGCATATAAATCGAAAATTGCATTTATTTTACTGATTTATTAAAATATGACTTATTTTAACCACAGATATACCTCTGTTATTTATCTAAGTGCTCGACCAAATACAGTTAAATGTTGGGCCACATTCATTCTGGAGTGTCATTTTCTTGTTTGTGAGCAGTGTTCATGACAATGTAAAAGAAACGTTTACTTTTCCAATTACAGCCTGTCTGTCAAACTTGTCAATGGATTGTCGGTTGCATGTCTATGGCTACTGTTACAAACGTCCAATACAATTCCCAGATCATTCGTGTAGCCGAAAGTGTTAAAAATGGAGTTTTCAATAGACAGTGTAGTAAAAAAAAAAACTGGCTGTTGGGTAATCCCTTATACAAACATTAGTACAACATATGCACTACCTATTCCCCTATTTCTTAGCTGTCAGATAATGTTTAGGTTAATTAACAAAATTAACAAAGAAATGACAGCAAATATATACAAATGCATTTTATTTTAATTGTTGGCAGTTTTTAGTATCAAGATTTGCCTGCGGATAAAATTGGTTTTGATCATATTGTTTAAACTACACTGTTGATAGTATTTTTGAATACCCAACTGCTGTATACTAGTATTATGAGCATTTTAGGCAGTCCTCTCAGATGCTTTGAGATTATCTGTTAGCATTGGACTTTATGGCTTCTGGTGAGGATTGTGTAGTTTCTTCAGTGATTTTCCAGTTCAGTTTATTTACAGGCACTGAAGCAAAGTGAACTATACTTAGTCATATTTATAAATATATGGGCAATGCGACTATGTTAAAATTTGTTCATAAAACATGCTCTATTGGGGGAAAACTGAAAGAATCTGTTGTAGCAATGGACACTGAAACTTCCACTAAAGGTCAACTCTGCTGTCACTCTGGATTATTCAAATCCCAGTAATGTTTTCCTTATGTAATTGTCATTGTTTATAATTCCGAAAAATAAACAATGGCAGTGTCTTTGTTGATTTTAGACTTACAGAATAGTGTTAGACAATAGTTGCCGACAGATTTGATGATGTGCCTTTTAAGATGAATTCGACTTTACTGTATTTGTTCTATTAGTATGGTATAGCTTTTGTAAACAGCAAAGGTATGTCTATGGTCTGTTATAATCGTCTTGCGTGCAATTCTCAGACAGACCGACACAGGAAGTCAGTGGAAGACGAGACTTTTCGTTAGCGTCGTTAGCGTGGGGGGAAGTTGGTTAGCTTGGGGGAAAAACAGAGGTGTTAATCTGAAAATTCATTGTCTATTCTTGTTTGTGATTGGTCCTAGCAACATTTGGGGGGGATCATGACGTAGCTTCGTCTTTGAGAATTGTGGCATTAATGTCATGTGACCCAATAGACCAATAGACCAAATCACGCCATTATTGGTGATTCGAAGATAACATATAAGTAACAGCATATAACATAAAATACATGTGCAGAATATGTGTATCGTATGGGTGCGCGAATTCATCCGAGTCGATTGGGTTTAAAGTTGTCCTGATTAACATGAACAGTGCATCTGCTGTAATCCCTTTGCAAACACAGGGGATTTAAAAAATTTTAGGCAAGTGCTGAGATCTTGTAATGTAAATGTAGCTTATTAATTGGTTTATGTGCACTTCTAATTGAGCAAATACGATAATGAACAAGTTTGAAAATATGGTAAAAAACAAAGGAAAGTTTAGAAATATGGGAATAAACAAAGGAAAGTTTAGAAATATGGGAATAAACAAAGGAAAGTTTGAAAATATGGTAATAAACAAAGGAAAGTTTGGAAATATGGGAATAAACAAAGGAAAGTTTAGAAATATGGGAATAAACAAAGGAAAGTTTGAAAATATGGTAATAAACAAAGGAAAGTTTGGAAATATGGGAATAAACAAAGGAAAGTTTAGAAATATGGGAATAAACAAAGGAAAGTTTGAAAATATGGTAATAAACAAAGGAAAGTTTGGAAATATGGGAATAAACAAAGGAAAGTTTTGAAATATGGGAATAAACAAAGGAAAGTTTAGAAATATGGGAATAAACAAAGGAAAGTTTGGAAATATGGGAATAAACAAAGGAAAGTTTGGAAATATGGGAATAAACAAAGGAAAGTTTGGAAATATGGGAATAAACAAAGGAAAGTTTAGAAATATGGGAATAAACAAAGGAAAGTTTGGAAACTTTAATTAAAATGCTTTCACTTTGAAAGTAGATAAGATAAAGCATGGACCCATAGAAGTCTATGGAGAAAGGTAATATACATATAAATACAAGTGAACTTACTTTTGATCTATCAAATGACCTTGGCATGCTTAAAAAAATCTACCACCAATGTGGATGGCATGATAAAATCTTTCTATACTCTGTAAGAAAAAAACGTTTGTTTTAAGTCATGGTGGAGCATTCTGTTATCTCAAGGGGGGGGGTGCAGTAATAGCGCAACCTCTACTGGGACCTCTCCTATAGACTTATTACATCTATAAAGTTTTTTTCTTCTTCACAGCACACATGAAATTTTACTGTTCAATTTTCAATTGAATTTAAAAATAACCTCTGACCATTGACCCTACAGGAATGAGCTGTTGCTTTGATGGTGTTCACCATTGCCGTGATAAGATCTGGAAACTTAATGCATTTTGGAAAAGAGTTTTGAAAGTCTCAGAATTTTAAGAACTTTATATGTGGTTTGTTTGACTGGGAATCTGGCTTAAGAGTAATTGTTTTTGAAAGAGTGCGTTTATTATTGTCACCATAAAAATTGATTTATTCTTACTTCTGACCTTCAAAATTGTCACAAGCAAAGAAGGAAGATATAATTTATTATGCAGTAGTTGACTATTATAACCTGGTTTCTCTTTCTTGGTAGTGGCCACTCTTTGCAGGTGTGGTTTTCTGGAATCTGCCAGTCAATAAAGCCTCTATCTTTCACTGGTCCAGGAATTATTTGCACCGTGCTGACCTGGAATATAGAAAAAGTGAAAAAATGATGGAGAATGAATCAACAGTACAGTCCATCCCCACGGCGACGGATCTAGATCTGGATAGGCCGGTAAGTTTATTTTTGGGTCTTTATCACATGATATCTTCGGCTTTCTTACCAGTATCCCACTGTGAATGACGTTGATATTTACGTGTCATGTCGCATGATTCCCAAAGACGTCAATCAAGTTATAAAGGAAAACTCTGCTTAATGGTGCTGTTGATTTATTCGTTTCTGGTAATTTTACGATTGACCCAAAAATTTGCTCACATAACTATATTAAGTCTTCCAAAGTTTGTAATCTGTTTGGTCGTCTACTCAAGTTGTGTTTTGACCTTGTCAACTTATAGGTCAAGATGCTGACTATTTCTTTGTTGGCAGCTGTGCGTATCTTTCAAATGTTCCTATAATCCCAGTCTAGTTGCTAATTCATCACAAAAATGTTTAAATTTAGCGTAACAAATAACAATAACTGGCACCAGCACAGTCCCTCGCATGAACTCTATTAAGTATGCATCTGTTTCAAGGTGTATCTGGTTAGAGCAAACTGAGGCAACACATAGTGCCAATTACATACTGCCATGGCAACCCATGGCAATAGTTTGATTGTTGGTTATGGTTGGAAATTAGAGTGTGGTTGATTTTTCTGGTGCCGCTTTCAATGAATTTTGCATTTATCAGTTTATTCTGACATTTGTTGGTTGACAACTTTAAAGTAAAAGATGAATTTAGTCCCCAAATCTCAGAATTTGAATAAAAAAAAAGGAAAACCATCAAAACGTAGTTTTCAAGTACATTGTCTCAAATTCTTGTTTATTTCAAGAATGGAACCTTGACTGTGATGTTTGTATGCTGAGCACTCTTCTTCAAGTGTTCTTCAAATTCTGAAGAAACTTGACATCTCTGTAAAAGGTCATTTATATTTGCTGTTCTGATAATTATCGGTACTCTTTATCGGTACTCTCATTGGTGGTACCAATTTGTGGCGTCACAAACAATAGAATGAGATGACTGACCTGTTTGCTTCATGACCGTGAAGATCAAACTTCAAATTGCTAACCATAAGCGGACATTTTTTCTACTACCTCACATTTTATCTCTTCAATGAAAACTTTCTTCTGTAGAATAATAAAAAATTTAAAAATAAAAAAAAAGTATTAAATGTTTCTTTATTGAAAGTTTTGCCCAACTACAAGTATGCCTTGTTTAAGAGAAAGGTCAAAGGTCATCTTGTTAAGTGTTTACGGGGGAAATTAAGTTAGACGATGAAGTGGGTTAAATTTAGAATAAAAGCATTTTCAAAAATAACCGACTTTGCTAAAGGAATGTTTTTAAAAGCCAGCCAATCAGAAAATTCAGTTGACAGCTTGCAAACATGTCACTGTTGACCTTTGACCTGGGCAAGAAATGAAAATAATGCTCTGTGGGAGCGGTTGAGCTCCAGGAATGAGTAATTTTAATCAGTCGTGAGTGACCTCACAATTGGTGTGGTGGGGTGGGAGTCGCTGGTCAGGGTTTATCTTGTAAAATGGCATAGTTCTTAAGGGTGTTGTCAGTAAAAGCGTTAAATTCGCTCTGAGTTTTGGTGATACGGATGTTGTTGCTAAGAGGGTCAAGTATGAATCGCTAAAACAGCCGATAAGTCAATAACTATGTGATGATTAAATCTGTCTCGGCTAATCACTCACTTTTAAGTAACTTTGATAAACTCCGCTTTGAATAATTGCAAAATTTATGGACAGTTTGACACTCTAAATCTCCCGAGATCTCATATTTCCTGGAAATCGCACAGCAGGATAAACAGGAAAATTTAATACCTCTTGTAATAAAGCATGTCAGTTTTCAAAGTTGATAAAAAAAATATTCCAAACATTAATGAAGCTTTGGTACTAAATAATTGAACGTTTGTGGGCTTCTTCTTGTTTAGTTTACATTGCACACCATCAAAAGCTTGAAAGTCAGTATTTTCCTATTAGAGCAGTAATTTTCAACGTTGTACATTACGTTCAACTTCTTTTGAACTTTGACGACAGCAGCATACATTGGGAGTGGAAGAGGGTGGTAATTGAGAAATGTTCATTAATAGTGAATTTGTACTCCCAAAAAGTATCGGAATGTGTGAGTTTTTGAAGTCATGGTTTTAGGTAAATTGTGATATGACACAGAGTAGTCAAATAAACAATTGCCAGAAATTAAATACACATAGCAAAGCTTGGCATTGTTGGGGACAGCATTTAAAAATGTAATTCATCTGGGTTTGGAAAGGAAATGTTATGTAAAAATAAAAAATTATATCATTTACATGTGACTCTGCTGTTCTTTTTATAGCACTTGTTGTTACGTTGTACCAAAACACAAGTAATGGCTGTAATGATTGACAACTCAAATTATTTTGAAATAACATGAGAGACTGTGTGAACATATAACTTATTAAAATACCTTATAATACCAATAATACCAATTAAGTAGAATTTGTATTTGTCATTAATGTGAAAATCATTGTAGTGTTCAAAAGGTATCATTTATTTTATATTATTTACAATAATAATAAAAGAAAATTTTTCAAAGTGTGGTTTGACTTTAATATCAAGCTTAAAATCTTAGTCTTAACTCTTTTAAAGTCAACTTTTGTCACTTTAGACAAAAGTTGGTCTATATGTATTTTTAAAAAGAATTTGATCAACATCTTTAGCCAATGGAAAATTATTTTCATTTAGTTCAAAATTAAAATAGAAAAATACATGGAAATATTTAAAATGTATCACTAAAATTTATTGTGGGAATATGTATGACCTTGAAAGGGTTAATTGTTTCTTCATGAACAATTGTAATTCACTTGCCCCCCTCCCCTTTTCAAATTACTTTTGGGTTCAACACATTGCAGTTTGATTTATTGGAGAAAGATTGATGACAATGAGGATGGCTGTGTGTGAAGTATTTCATAAATGATGGTACAGACTTCTCATTTGAAAATGTGGGAGTTGCATTTGAAATCACCAAACATATTTTTTTTGGTCATGCTATATTTGACATCATCAGCATTTTGATATTTATTAAAACAGACTGTTAAAATCATTGTTATCATTAAGTTTAGTTGTGGCATTTGTTGTGGTGCAGTTTCTTGTTCCCCATTTTCTCATAGTTTACTGTAAAATGACTAATTTTCACTGGGTTTAAATTTTCTTGATTTACCATTTCAGGCATATTCAATGGGTTTAGATTCATGGTTTTATCATTTAGATAATGTGTTCTATGCTCAATTTTACATATTCACTGGGTTATAATTAAGCACATTTTCCAGTCAGCGAAATAAGCAAATTTAAAACTCAGTGAATATTTAATCCTTTTACAGTAGTTTGAAAGCTGTAAATGTAACACAGTACATACAATACTTAAAATAGAAATCCTACATCCAAATCTAGTTGCTTAATAAAGTCCATTGGATTAACTCAAAATGTGCTGCACTTATGTAATTATTTGTTTATTTTACCAACGATACAAATACATCCACATTTTGGCAGTAATAATAGCAGTTCAAATTTCATAAATACTGTATTATTTCCAAGAAAATGTTATTCAGTAAATACTATTATTATTTAATTACTATTTTAATTATTTAATGTATTTTAAATATTAACGTGAGGAACAGGGGCATCTTTATAAGCGTAAATAACAAACATACATAACAAAAGATAGCTTCAAGACAGTGATAATGTCCGTACAAGGCATCAGAAAATGCAAATTATTCAAAACAAACAAAAAAATTTCAAGGACATATAGTAGAACAGATAGAAAAAAAAAACCATGATGTTCTCCCAAGGCGATATAACGGCAACGATACTGTTCTTTTTTCTCCGACACTGTTTCAAACATGCCGACACTTTTATTTCTCCGACTGGTGAATGAGCTCCACCCCTGCTGGTTCAAAATAGTAAGCGCTAAAAGTAGTTATTAATAGTTGAAACAATTCTTGAAACAAAAACGAGAAGTGGGGAAATAATATTGACTGGTGATCCACATGTTTATTTCATGGGTAATGAATTTCATTTTAATGATATGCATAAAATATGTTAAAACAGTATGTTAATGTGTATAGCAAGATGATCCATTCATTCTAGAGTAGGAAAAATGCTGTTTTAATAGCAACTCATTTCTGCTCTACTAACACTTCTGGGAGCTAGTAAATGGCCATAATGTTTTTTTAAACGAAAGTTTTCAGGAAAAGTTTAAAATATTAAACTTTTGACAGTTGTAAAGTTTTCCTGCCAAGTTGTCAGTAGCTTCCAACATTTCATTTATATTTTTCAGCTTATAGTAGCTTTCTGATTGGTCATGAGCATAAATGTCTGATTTGCTGAGGCAATTGGTAGATAAGATAGTAATATTCATTTTCATAGGTAATGATTTCAGCTACATATGTGACAATTTCATTTTCATATGTGAAGATTTCATTTGCATATGTAATTATTCATTTGCATATGTAATAATTTCAGTTGCAGAATGTTTTCATTTTCATTTTATGATTTCATTTTCATATGCGAAAATTTCATTTGCATAGGTAATTATTCATTTGCATAGGTAATAATTTCAGTTGCAGAATGTTTTCAATTTCATTTTATGATTTCATTTTCATATGCGAAAATTTCATTTGCATAGGTAATGATTTCAATTGCAGAATAATGTTTTCATTTTCATGTTATGATTTCATTTTCATATGTGAAGATTTTATTTGCATAGGTAATGATTTCAATTGCAGAATAATGTTTTCATTTTCATGTTATGATTTCATTTTCATATGTGAAGATTTTATTTGCATAGGTAATGATTTCAATTGCAGAATAATGTTTTCATTTTCATGTTATGATTTCATTTTCATATGTGAAGATTTCATTGGCATAGGTAATGATTTCAGTTGCAGAATGTTTTCATTTTCGTGTTATGATTTCAGTTGCATATATGATTTCATTTGCATAAGTAATGATTTCAGTTGCATAGGTAATGATTTCATTTGCATAATAATGTTTTCATTTTCATGTTATGATTTCATTTGCATATGTAATGATTTTCAT